AAAATATTTTTTTGTGAAAACAGCAATACTACATTTGAGACTGCGATCTACTAAAATTCATCTATCCCCCATATCTTTTCGATAAGAAGAATGATTTTTACTCTTTATTTGATCCCTTTATTTTTCATATGAAAATTTTGCAGAATTTTATGACTGTTGATGCTTTTAACTAATTGTTTAAGTCAATATAAATGTAATGTATGCGAAATGTACAAAAATACGATAACATGAATACGAATTCAAAGCCTGAATTGTTTCTTAGTCTGGATCTTTTTTTTTAAAAAGAAAAAGTGTTTAGAGAGGACAAGAAAGAATAATAAATCTCTACACTAATGAACCTGGAACTAATGTAACAAAGAATTTCGAACTTGGAATTCCTGTTTAGCTACCAAAAAAAAAATCTTGTACTTGTTGTATTGTTCTAACACTCTTACCTAAGTTATTGTTATTCTTTTTTTTCATTACTGTGCTGTTTATTAACAAAAATTTTACTACAAGTCTTTTTTTTAATTTATTTTTGCATTAATTTAAATTGAAAAGGTTAATTTTAAAATTTTGTGATTTACAGAATAACATAATGTATTTTGTAATTTTCTTGAATTGAAATAAAAAATTGTAGAAAGAAAAATCTGTTGACATCAAAATATAGATAGTATGAAGTGTACACACACACGGGGGACATACATACGTCGCTGTCACGTGTTCATCGACCCGCATTTTCATGTTTCTCGTACGCACGTGAATGTTATGTGCGTGACCGTTTGCGACAGCGGGTTGTAACGAGCTTCGGTAAATAAAACATAAAAAAAATGTTTGTATTTACTACTTAGTTTGGTGCTTTTTGACGCTGATAATCTTAAATCGACTTGGATGATCCATCAGCTTATTCCACAACGTCCTAAATAAAAATTTTTTCGATCGTTCTATAGCTTTTGTAATAGTGACAGTTTACTTAAGCAACGATTCCAAGAGATAAAAATAGATCTCTTACAAAAAAATCAGTAATAAAGACTACAATTACGTAATTTAATATGTGCTTACAAATTGGGAATCGGAACATACTCGTCATCTCATTCTTTTAACATATGATGTGATCAGAGGTTGTCTTTTACCTTTATCAAAGAGTGTCTATTTATGCGTTTCTCATTTTGAGTACTTTTATCGTTTATTTGTTCTTAAACTTTAAAAAAAAAAATTTTTATTTTTCTCGAATACCATCTCATATATAATAGTAATTAATTATTTGTTGTAGTAATTAATAATTGTAGTAAATTACAATATTATGTGCATAAGCTGCCTTTCTATGCATCCCTTTATACCTCATTGTTGTTTAATTTGTCAATTTAATATTATTCCGGATAAATCTGTATTTACGTTTATGTGGATGCATCTTTACTGCGTATCTGTGCATTCTATACATTTCCGTATGCATCACCTTTATCTCTGCCATTGTCAAAATACTTGTTTATTTTTTCTAACCACAGTTTTTTGAGTTTCTATTTTTTTTTTTTTTTTTTTTTTATTATGACGATTGTATTCTCGTATATGTAAGAATGTTCAAGTACTTTTTTTTAGTGTATTAAAAAAAACGTATTTTTCCTTTTTTTCTTTCTTCCGATTTTTAAACTCACTCTCTCTCTCTCTCTATCGTACAAAAGATTGTCTTTGTCTTGACTCATGGTCATGAAAAAATACTTTCTTGAAGCTACTTTAGTGTCTCTTAATAATTTTTTATACTTTCACTTAGAACTTTTCACTTTTACATCATGTCGTGTACATCGCAATGACTGTGAATAAACGTATATATTTGATTATCCTCTCCATAGCTGGATATATTTTTATGTGTATTTCTAAGTTTCTGTTCCTAGTGATTATCTTTTCCATCGTAAACTACATTTCTATTTTATGTAATACATTTTATTACATTTAGCTGTTTTATGCATGTATAAAGGAGCTAATGAAAAACATGATCAATCAATCAATACATCCTTATTATATACAACCTTCCATCAGTCTCTGTCATTATATATCTTTATCTAGTGCGTGTCAATGTCTAAATTCAATTTTACTTAATCATGGCCTAGTAAAGTTCTATCCAAATATAGATGATAAATTAGTTGTGATTATTTCGGTTAGCGTATTTTAAGAAACTATTAATATAAATTTTTGTCAAAATTAAATTTCGTATTCTTAAAGACACTTAATTTTTTAAAACTTGTAGAAATGTTGGTCTTCAAACTCAAACTTTCTAAAATAAAATAAGAAAAGGTAGTTCTTTGAAAACTTGTTGAAAGTAAAAATTGAAAAATTTAATTAAAGTTGAGTGATTGATATGCGTATACCAAGTACATATCATTTTTTCATATTATAAGACACGTTTTCTTGTAGTTCAGCCTACTTTCAAACAAGTTTTTAAACCTTGAGCCAGTACAGAAAACTCATCTTTTACTATCTTGGATCTTAAATAAGGAGAAAAAGTATTTACAAACTCTATCTCCTCTCAAGCATGTCTGGATTTATAAAATAGAAATTACGGAAGATTATCTATAAAAAAAAATATTTGAAATATAATAATTTTTTAAGGCACCAAATAGTTTACAGAATACTTTGATTTGTGAATGTTGTGACTCAAAAAAATCCTCTTGTGTACGATGATAAAAGAGTATAATAATGAGCTTTAGGCGATATGGATTTTCTTGTAGTTTATGTCACTATATAATATTCAGCCCAACCTCTCACAATTGTAGGATTCTAAATAACGCATAAATCAATTTTTTTTTCAAGGACCACTACATATAATGGCTATCGATCCGTAGTTATTTTTAAAAATATCCATTGGGTGTATTGGACATGTATGGGTAATCTAATACATTAGGTCCTTTTGAAAGTACAGTGAAGTCGCCGAAACATCAGCAAATTCGATTTTCGTACACTACGTGGATAGGTGCCAAAGAGGTCTCCTGCTGTGATACTACTACGCGTGTGCAAAATTTATTAGAATTCTTTATTTCTTCTCCGACGGAAAAAAAGAAAACAGGAGATTGCGAAGAAAATAGTCAAGATTGCTTTTACGCTTATATTTATTATCTTTACTTTGTATAAGATGTTGGATTTCATTCTGCACACACTAATCTGATTTTTTCTAACAGTACAACGGATGCCGTATTGTATCGCATACATTATTATTTACAATTTTTTATTTAAACATTGATTTTTTTTCATTTGATAAAAAGAAAGATTGTTAGAAAAAATATGACCTGCCAGTAGAGAGGACATAGTAGAATTAAATTTTAATTTTTGTTTTGAACGTCAAGAGAGATATTACAGGAATATATCATTCTTCTTGATCTTACACTCCTAGATGTGTAAATTTGATTTTGCATAAAAACTTGATCATAGAATAGTATAACTCCAAAGCCCAATAAAAGCTATTGTAATGAATTCTATTTCAGTAAAAAAGACCGAATCCATAGCTAAATGTTAAAACAAGACTAAAAAAATGAGACCTTATCTTACTTTATAACATTAAAAAAAAATGTTTTTTTTCCAACGAAATCAATATCACCTTTCTTCTACGTTTTCAAAATTTCCAGCTTTTCTTGGAGTACAAGTTAAAAAAAAAAATAACAATAATAACTGACAACAATTAGGAAAACTACACATGTTCATTATAATTAGACTTAATTTTCATCTCAAATCGGTAGTTGATTTCTTATCTTTATTGCTTTGTTTATTCGATCCGATATCGGACAAAAATACATGTAATCTAATATAACACGAGTTCAAATCACATGTAAGAAAAAGAAACATTTAGAACAAATCAATGAAAACCTTCCTATTTTATGAAGACATTAAGTAAGTAGTTTGTTTGTTTAAACAAAATGCTTGCCATAAAGAGCTTTTCCAGCTTATTCTACTGACTTTTCATCCTAACACTAACACTATGTGACTCAAGAATATAAAAATGTGATTTCTCGTCACAGCAGAACGTAATTCAATCGTAAAGCACTTAATAAATCGCATTAAGGCCTCGAAATTGCAATCAACGGTGTCTCATCTTGAAGCGGGCGGTAAAGCTCTACGTTGCAGTTGCTCAGGAGCAAGATGTGATCAAGGGTGAATCATCGTTACTTGCTGTTTCTCTCTCTCTCATTCTCTTTCTACCTCCCTTGCTCTATCACACTAGGGTGAAATGGTGCCACTTAACATTTTCAAGTGTGCTATTAAGTTACTTCAAAATTCACAGTAACTTTTGTCATGGTTAATAAAATTTTTAACAATTGTTGTTTTTTTTGTTACCTTCTAGTTCAATTCAAAATAGAACTTATGAATTTTTTAAAGGTGTCTTTCTGATGAAATCATCACATGTATTTCAGAACATTTTGTGAGAACTTTTTCATCTTTGAAAGACTTCTTCAAGAAGGTTGAATCTTGGGCTGTTGGTGGAAGCACTTGATGTTTATAAGTGTATATAACGTGAAGTGATTACATCGATCGGGTCCGAAATGCTGTGACCACACGTTCTTTTGAGATATGTACGTCCAAATCATTGAATATACCTATCATACATATATGCGTACAGAAGTACGGCGCAAATAAAATTTTTTTTTACATTTCTTTGTTTTCTGACTTATTTTAGTGGCATTTATGAACAAGATTTTATTTTAATGAAAAATTACGATGAAAATTTAAAAATAATAATCAATAGGTCTTAAAAGAAATGTTTGAAGTTGGTGGTGTCAGTAGGTAGGGCACATTAAAAAAAAAAAAAAATTAAAATAAAATAAATAAAACGATCGTTAAATGAAGTTATAAAAAGTACGTTTTGACTCATGACCCGCTTACAAATTAGCAAAAAATCATGAGAATGATCAAGAAAATGTTTCTCATGTAATTTTTTATAAGCAGAGAATTTTTAAACATAACTATTAAAAGAAAAAAGTTATATTATTTGAAACAACAGTTACATTTATATGCATTTATTTTTAGGTTCTGGACAGCGGAATGGAGTATCATTTTGTGCATAGAGCTTTGCCACATGCGAGAAGTAAAAGATCGGTGCCTCACATGAGAAGACTAAAAGTAGATCCCTTAGTAAGTACATTAAACTATTACAATATACTTTTTTTAGTAAGTACATCAGTTAGGTTTTTAAAATTGATGATGCCTTATGTTAGCTAGAATATCACAAGAATTCGATATGTTTACTAAAATATTGTGTGATTTCTCAATGTAAAACGGATTGTGTACATACAAGTTTTACAGTAAAGATATGATGAAATCATGAAAATTCTTTTTAAGCAAAATATCGATTTTTAACCCGATGTATTATTTTATCTAGCATGGTAATACATAATTTTGTACGTTCATAATTTTTGTCCCTTAAAAAATTTTTATTTTATAAATCATTACGTACACACCAATGAATTGGTTCAAAAACGCTGGAAATATATCTTACACGTAATAAAAGCTGCATTGCAAAAAAAAAACTAATCTCAATCTAGAGACATTCTGGTTATACACTTCTTTGTTTTTTATCACGAGCAACAAAAGACACAATGAACATCTCTTTTCTGTAGAACAAAACGGTCTTCTCGATATAAATGCAAATGATTTTTGTACCTCCACGAATTCTACTTCGTCTGAGAAAGGTGGTGGAAAAAAGATAGGGAGAACGAGGAACGTGAGCTAACAAATACACTTTACTATGGTCACACCAATAAAGGTAGCCGTCCCCAACAGTCAAATCGATATAAGAGTTTGTCGTTGTGCGAATGAGTACACATATCCATATATAACACCAACGTGATGTGGATTACTATAAAAATGTGCGTGTGCGTGTGTGTATGAGTCCACCGGAGGGGTGAAGAACTGAGGGCAAGTGATGACGCGTGAACATCGACGATATCGATATCACACACTAAAGCTGCTGCGTACACGTGTGCAGGTTGACGTGTACGTATTCGTGTGTGTCGCTGATCTCATTGAGCAAGTATTATGTTCTCTAACGTTGAGAAGTTGAAAATAAATTTTTTATTATACTATCTTGTGACGTAATATTTGGAATTGTTTATTTACATATTTAAAATAAAGGATTTACTCAATCTTACTTTTAAAGAGTTTCGAGTTGAAAAAATATTATGAATGTTAGAAGATTTTTAATAGAATTGTTGTTACAGAAAATAACTTAAAAATCAGCAGAATCAAACTTATATAAAAGAGGAGGTATTGTTATCTTCAAATTATTATTTTTGTAAACATGGACATATCTTCGGATACTCTTGAACGAAACAAACATTTGTGTTATATCAGTAGTTTCCATTCTAAATAAGATATTCGATAATTACTATAATTTTACTGCGATTGTATTACAAAATTAAATTACTATACGTAATATAGTAAGCGTAAAGACTGAAATGTACTAGTTTGAAGTAAATTGAACTACAATATCTTCCGCAGGTGCTTTTTTTACAAAATACTTACAATTATATACGTATCACAAGATCACGTGTTTTTTAAATGTTGAGAATATTTTCCATTTTTAATATTAATACTGTAGATATCTCGGTTGTCCAAAAAAAAAAAAAAAAAAAAAAAAAAAAAACATCAAAAACACATTTAATTCTGTTATTTCGTCCACAACTCCATGAACATTCTTTTTATTCTGCAGGTACACATGGCGGTACAGCAGACAGGTTTCAAGCGAGTAAAGCGTGGTTACAAGCCTTTAAGCGTAGAAAAGCTCGTGCCGCTGTTCAATGAGCTCAAGAACTCGGCGTCGAATCCAGCGAGCCACGACCCCACGGACCCATACTTTCAATACCAATGGTACCTGAAGAACACCGGGCAGAACGGCGGGAAGCCTAAGCTTGACTTAAACGTCGAGGCAGCTTGGGCCCAAGGCGTCACTGGTAAAAACGTCACGACTGCCATCATGGACGACGGTGAGTGGTGCTTTACTATATATTTTTACAAAAAAGATAGAGCCATATAAAACAAATTCAGATCTTTACGAGAAAAATATGTCAAGTGATGGGAGTTTTTCAGCAGAGTTGGTCAGCTTTTTAAAATCGTGAATTAATTTTTTGGAAACAAATCTTTTGTAGATATTATTGAACGTCAATTATTAGTTTTTAATTTTTAAAATGATTACGAGGGCCTTGTGCAAAGATTTATGTTGGGGATAACGTTTATAGGATAACAAAATGGAGAATTATAAAAAATTCTTCCTCAATATTTTTATGCTAGAAATATATGCCAAATATATTATAGGTAATGTAATTAAATAAAAGTTCCCATAACTATTATCGTGATGTTTTTTGTCACATATTATTTCACGTAAGGTTAATTTGAATTTTTTATGGATTTAGAATAACTTGTAAGAGAAAACAATATTATAGGGAGTAATTCAAAAATAATGGATTCATGAAATAAGTTCAAAAACATCAAATAGTTTTTCTAAACTCAATTTGTTTTTAGCCACTTAAAACTTTTATGTATTGTTTTTATTTGCCAGGAGTTGACTACATGCATCCGGACTTAAAATTTAATTATGTAAGTATTTCCACATTATTATTTTGTCCAGTACTTTAATTACATCAAACACATAAAACTAAACGGATTTGGCACATGAGAATCTATCTGTCATGGTTGCTAAATCGGTAAAATAAATCTTTCATGCTTATAACTTAAAAAAATATGTGGGGAAAAAGTCAAAGATAAAATAACATTTAATAAATTTACCGTGGGAGCTTATATAAACTTTAATAATTTTATCTTAAGTAATAGTGCGAAAAGCAACTTAAGTATTCACGCAACGTTAAATAATAATGTGAGCGTAGTGGGCGTGATCGAGGCTATTGTACAAGAACGGTATTATCTTACGTGGTGGTGAGGGCGAAGCGAGCTTTGTATTTTTTTTACTACCTTTCCTTGTCGCCCAGAATTAGCATATTGTACGTTGAAATTCAAATGAGTTGCGGATCTTCCGACTCCAGCCGTGACCTTTGCTTTATCCGCTCTCTTTTAATAATGTAATCAACTTCCACACACGTGCACTTTAGACTCACCCTATTGTTAAGCTGGTCTTAGATGTTGCGCTTGTACATATGTTTCTCAGAAATGAAAACAGTACTGCCCACGCGAATTCGGTACGAAATAAGAATACGTTTTTCAATCCCAATTAGGATAAAATTTATTTGTTTATGAATTATACAAAATTGTTTTTCATTTTTTGGGTTTCAGAATGCAAAAGCTTCTTACGACTTCAGCAGTAATGATCCATATCCCTATCCGAGGTACACGGATGACTGGTTTAACAGGTAATTTTTATAAAATTGACTTTGGAGCTTCTACTGCTTTTTGTCCTAAAAGTGTGTAATCTTGTTTAACAATGATTTACTTAAGAAACTTACATATCAGTACTAAACATTCCCAGTGGATTCAATTTACAATTAATTGATTAAACGATGCGATGACATGTGGCAATTATTTATTTTGACCATCCAATGAACACACGTAACCGAAAAAATACGCCAACATTTAAGAGTTACTTAAAGAGGACAAAAATAAATTCACGTTTTATTTTCCTTGGTGAGTTATTCATATTAGAATAATAAGTAAGGTAAAGCCATAGAAGAGCATATTTTACGAAGCAGATGACATCTCGAGAAAACAAACAGAAGTAAAAGGTTTTCTCTGTTTCTGAGTCGAATTTTATCCATTCCTGCCTATCTGTAATATTGTAGGAAGACAAAAGAAAATTTTCTGAAAGCACTTAACAAAAAAACACCATTTTTATCATGGAGTCATGGATATAAGACATATGAGTTGCGTTGCTTCTTTCACGTAAAAAATAAAAAGAGGCCGAAAGAGAAAGCTTTATACACGCCAAAATCCTTGCTTATCTGTTTTTACCCGATGACAGATGTTGGACTTAGCTTGGGGCTATTACGTCTTGCTGAGTTTATCGGATGTCAATCATACACGAGCGACGAGTGAGGAAAAGTAGTGAGAGGGGAGAGAGAAATATTGATCGACCACGAGAGATAGCAAAAGGAAGTGAGAGAGAGAGAGATACAATAAGATAGAGATCTAGTAAAAATGTCCCCTTATAAATCAACCCGTAAATAAGTTGCTACTTTCACAAGTATAAAAAACTGTCGTACCATTTGTTAAAAATGTACAAGTTGTTAAAAAAAAATGGATAAACTAATATTTTTGAAAAAAAATAAGTCAAAGATTTAAAAGTTTTTGCTACATTATTTTTTATTAATCATTTCTCAAAGTTAGATTGTCTTAAACAGAAAAAATAGTTTTTCTGAATTTGAAAATTTTTTGTTTAATTAGATTAACATTATCATCAAAATCAAAGATGTTTTTTGCTAAATGCGAAAACGAAAATCATTTTTGTATGATGCAATCACATTCATATTTTAAAACTTAAATAGAAATGGTCTAGAAGGGAGGTAATATGTGTTCAAGATTAATATCTTTTTGCACCTTCACTCTACTAAAAACTAAATGCTACACCTTCGTCGATGCGGTTTAGTTGAAATCTCCGTGAACTATTTGTCTACTTCCCTTGTAGAGTCGCTGTTCATGGACACTAGTACTAATTTATTTTAAATATCTGTGAATTGTTTGTGAAACATAGGCAAGGAAATATTTAAGTCTTGACACCACAAGGTAGTTTAAAAAAATTTTTTTTTAATTCTTGTGATTTTGTTGTGAATTCCATGAATTATTTACCGAGAGTAAAAAATAAACCAGTATAGAAGAGACTACCACGTTTAGTATTGGTAATGTGTAGTCTTAATCTAAGAAAACCCATGAATAATTTATGAAGATTTTAAATAAACCACGATCGATAAGTTGTGTTGTATCTTTAGGAAATATGCAGACTGTAACTGCATGTGAATGCAAAAAAAATGTAGTATTGTGAATGGAGGGTGATAACATGAATTCCCGTAGTAAAAAATAATTATTTAAGGTTCACAATGAAACGAAAAATCATAATTTTCTTATAATTTGTTACTAGCCTTCTAACTATTTAAAAAATTTTATATTTTCCCACAAGTTGATTTGTCAAAATTTGATGTTTCAGAAATGCAAAGTGTCGATGTTTTAAGTTGACGAATTAATTGTTAGTGTCATGTTCATAATGAAAAGATTATACCTTTGTAACAAGTTATTACGTATATATGTATATTTTGAGTGCAATATCATGACCAAAACAAATTTCAATTTTTTTAGTCATGGAACAAGGTGCGCAGGTGAAGTGTCAGCAGCTCGTGACAATGCAGTTTGCGGCGTAGGCGTTGCTTACGATTCCAAGGTGGCTGGAATTCGGATGCTGGATCAGCCCTACATGACTGACCTGATTGAAGCAAACAGCATGGGCCACGAACCAGATCTGATTGATATCTATAGTGCCTCCTGGGGACCTACCGATGACGGAAAGACCGTTGATGGTCCAAGAAATGCGACAATGCGAGCAATCGTACGAGGAGTTAATGAGGTGATTTGTGAATCGCTTAGTAACTTGAAAATATTCGAATGAATGTTTTTATGATTTTTATGAATGTTTTATTAAAATAGCATCTGACCTCAAGAAGTTAAAAAATTATTGGGTGATGTTTTGTGGCACCAATTAGTGGAGCAATAAAAATGACATTTTATTTTTCCTCTGAGTCATATGTTAATAATTACTTTATTGTTGATCTAAAAAATAAACTGTCATTTTATCGATTATTAACTATAATTAATCATGGAATGACTTACATTATATTTGATGTATCTTTGAATTGTTCTTATTAGGTACTTTTATGGGCAGAATAAAATTATTTTAACAGTAGGCATTTACTTATAATAAAAATTTTTCAATTGACTTTTTGGAAGACCAAAAACTGCAAGAAACAATTTTTATAAAAGGATATCGAAAAAAAATTATTTTTTTCTAGCATCTATTCTTAGCATTGTTATACTTATACTTTTACGTCCGTTCAATAAAAATCTGCCGTTAAATATACGGCTTCGTTCCCTTACTCGAATAAAAATCATGATGGGGCTGCTAACAATGAGTATATTTTATCGTTACATTATTTTGACAGGGTCGCAAGGGCTTAGGAAACATTTACGTGTGGGCGTCAGGTGATGGCGGAGAGGACGATGATTGTAATTGCGATGGCTACGCTGCTAGCATGTGGACGGTCAGCATTAATAGTGCGATTAACGATGGCCAAAACGCCCATTATGATGAGAGCTGTTCAAGTACTTTGGCATCAACTTTTAGTAATGGTGCTAAGGATCCTAATACCGGAGTGGTGAGGCATAAGTTGTAATAGCTACTTAGTGAGCGATATATATATATATATATATATATATATACATATTTTTTTCCAAAAACAATTTTCTTTTTATTATTGCTATGCTCATTTACACATAATAAAAAATAGCAGATTCTAAGTACCAGTACGATTCAATACTGAAAAAAAACTTTGTGCATGGATCTTTGTTCCCAGTTTAACAGATTGATCATTTTTTAGCTTTTTTATTATTTAAGAACCAAACGGTACGTGTTTTTTTTTTTTTTTGTTCATTCTCACATGCTATGGGCGAGAAAATCAGAATGTCCTAACTTTGACATTTTTTAAGCTCATCTAGGCATTCAAGCATGAAGAAGATAAGGGTTCCAACATGGTGTGTTCAGGATAAATGCACTGGAAAATTACTTCAGGCTTTTGAGACCAGGGCTATTTTATCGTAGTTATTTAGGTTCAGACAAAAATAATAATAATAAAATAAAATGAAAGATTTACGAATAATTGAATGCTTCTTTCAAATTCAAAGTATGAGTTAGGTAAAAATTTTGAAGTACTTATCAATATTATTCCATGACAAGTTAAAAATAGAAAAAAATTTCTGAAAGCGTTTTGAGCGTTTAACCATTTAGATATAATGAGTCGCACAAAAGTTTAAGTATAAAATGAAAAAAATTAAACTAGAAAAATTATTTCTTTCCAACAGTGTCATGGTAGAATCAGTGTAACTTAAAATCAAGGACAGTAGTGTTGTGCTGTTATGAACAAAAAACCATCGAGTGATTAACGCGTTCAGTTTCATTTGTTATACAACTGATTTAAGTCCATATTACTTACTACACTTTATGTGTAGTTATAGAATAATACTTTAAATGAGTTTTAGTACTTAACAAATTACAAATTTGCAGACTCATCGCATAATTCAATCTTTATAAGTCGACTAATTTTAAAAAATCGTACAAAAATAAACTAGAAAAAATTAATCTTTGCTTTAAAAAAAAAATTAAGTAATAGAGTAGCAATGTAATAATGGACAATGTTTTGGTCTCCGCTTATTTTATAATCAAATAAGATTTAATAGCAAATAAAGTATGAAATAAAGCCGATCCCAACTTTCAGTTGTTAAAGGATAATCATTGTTTTTAAAATACATAAGTACTTGACTATAAAAAAATAACGACAAACACAATAATCAACTAAGCTCTTATTTAAATGATGCTATAGTAAAACTAACATCATTATAATTTTTTCGCATTATAGGCTACTACCGACTTGTATGGTGAGTGTACAACTACACATAGTGGAACGTCAGCTGCAGCACCAGAAGCTGCTGGTGTGTTCGCTCTCGCCTTGGAAGCTAAGTAGGTGTCTTAATTTTTTTTCATTCCCCAAAAATGGTTTTTTAAAATCAGATATTTAAAAATACTTAATAACCAAAAATCTTCGTAAAAATAGACAAACTAGTTGTTGATCAATGCATAATTAAAATAAATGTTACTTTCAGTCCACAACTGTCCTGGCGAGACATTCAGCACTTGACTGTATTAACATCAAAGAGAAATTCATTGTTTGATGCCAAGGGAAGATTTCACTGGACAATGAACGGTGTAGGGTTAGAGTTCAATCATCTCTTTGGCTTCGGCGTCCTGGATGCTGGTGCCATGGTTGCACTCGCCAAGAAATGGAAGACAGTGCCACCTCGTTACCATTGTGAGGCAGGAACTATCCAAACAGTGCAGTGAGTTTAGATGATTATTCTATTAACATTAATTTACGATCAGTATTGATGATACAATTGAGGAATTTTTATAGATGTAATATACAAATTTTTAGACTTATTTTTTACTATTTTCAAAAAATTTCCATCGATAACATCGTCACACACTACGTATTAGGGTTGTAACATTGATTTATTGTAAAAAAGGTCTCAATTTTATAATAACAAAAAATATATTAAATCCGTAAGTTAAGGTTTTATTATTGAACCTGTAAGTATGTGTCATGAAAATACAAACTGTTGAGACATGCATTGATAAAGACAAATTAAAAATGATTAACATCTAAAATCATTTTTTTTGCCTTGGGAATCATCCACAAAATACATTGGAGATTTTTTCAACTTTAGGGCTTTACTCCTCTAAACTGAAGAAAGAAATTATGAGATGTTCTATGAGTCTTACCCTTATAACTTCTTCAGGATTTCGTTACCTAGGAAATGTTCAAAAAAGTATTTTTACTTTTTTGTTTGTGACATTATACATTTTTTATAAAAAATGCAAAACTATAAATTTGAAGATATCCTTTGTAAAGANCATTCTACTGTGAAATTTAAATTGCATTTGAGAAAATTTTTTAGACAATTTTAAAAAGAAATTTAATACTAGAAATTTGACTCGATGAAAAAAAATTACTTTTAAATGGTTATTATTAACTAATTTTTTTTCGGGGATCAAAAACTGTATGAATTTTCAACAAAACGCAGTTTAAAATAATGTACTCTCAATAGAAGTGTTTCTTGTAAAGGTGATTGTAGTGCATATAAATGTACCAATATTTATATTTTGTAAGAATTTCAGTTTTTTTGATGATAATCAAAGATTGTGTTATTTACAGAGAGATACCAAGCCACCGATCAATCCTACTAAAGATCAAAACAGACGCTTGTGCTGGAACGGATTATGCCGTAAACTACTTAGAACATGTTCAAGCAGTCATTTCTGTAAATGCTACACGAAGAGGTGACTTAGAACTCTTTTTAACATCACCAATGGGAACAAGGTACGTATCTGTTTATTTAATATTATTAAAAATGTCATACTCATTAATAGTACAGGTTACTAAACTTTTCAAAATGTGTTTGAAATAGTTAAAGTAGAGAATAAAAATCAAAAACAGTGTCTGGATATTTATTTAATTAACTGATGTCTTCTTTTACAGATCTATGATACTGAGTAGAAGAGTAAATGACGATGACCACAGAGATGGTTTTACAAAATGGCCATTTATGACTACTCATACGTGGGGTGAATACCCTCAAGGAACTTGGCTGCTTGAAGTAAATTATTTTCCGTTCATAATTACAAATTGATTTTAATATTTTTTATCGTGCGTTTAGTCGAAAACTTTTTTTGATTCTCAACAAAACAAATGTTAATTCCTACCATTAAAATACTTTTCCGTCTAACATCATTTAAATAGAAATATTTTTTTGTATGATGCTTGATTATTATGAATAAATTTTTCATTTTAATCCTAGAAAATGTGTTCCAAAATAAATGGTAAAAATAATTTGGAATACAATTAAGAACTTCATCATTTTTAGAATTAATTTTTTAATTTTTCAAATTAGTGCATATATCTGTAATATTTCCAAAAAATTTGTGTCTAACTGGTGGATTATTTATTGAAAACACGAAAAACGTAATGTAATTAA